CACACACACACACACACACACACGATTCGATAGAGAAGTCGTAAATATCGTTTAATCGTGTTTTATCGTTCGCGTGGAGCACGGTCGCACGCGTGATCGAACGAATCGTACGGTCGTTGGATCCCCACGATTCGCTTTCGTGCTTCCTATTTAACGAATTTCTCGATTTCCCGTTATTAGAGCGAAACGTTCGTTAATCGTCGTTAGAGGTTGCTTCTGTACGTTAGAACGTCATGGTACCTTTAATGAGTAGAATGATACCGGAGTATAGGAAGTAATTAACGGCTTAATTATACCGCGAGGAGTGTTCATCGGTAAAGCTTGAATACGAGCGTGCTCGCCTGGCGGCCGTTGTTGATAACCTGAATAGTGTTCGAGTGGCGGCGATGACGTTTCGATTGGCAATCCAGCGACCACTTTTATATTTCGTTTCGTTAACGGCCCCGCGTAGAAGCGTCGGGTTTTTTCGTGTTCGCTCGAAAACTGGTCGAACACGGTCCGGTGTGTCTGCGCGACTAAACAAATATAACTAAGAGAGGTGGTTCGATGCTGGTTATACGTGCACCTTTCGAGGAACGCAATTGTGTACACTGTCACGGTCTTCATTCGCGTCTGCCCCCTCCCATCTCATTTCCTTCTTCGATCAACTTTCATGCACGGTTCATTGAATACGTTTGCCAATCTTTCGTCTTTTCGTCGCGCGATATCTATTTCTGCTCGATCGAAACTATCGATCGAAAATATTCCTCGAACTCGGTGAAACGGACGTGTAATAAACAACGATCGACACGAAAGAGCTCATTTCAGCTGATCCAATAATTTTTGACGTAATCGCGTTAGATAATTCCCCGGCGGAATAAACATCGATACCTCTGGGAACTTTTTTAACGAACCCCGTGTCGTTTCGCGTTAACTCCAGACTCGGCCGCGGTCTAGACCGCTCTCGTGGCGCTGCCGTCGCGGGGTCAGAATTTGTTTTGAAGTAGACGGTTATGTGTACAGCGATCGCAACGTCCTTTTACTTCTCTCTTTATTCTTTCCTCTTTCTCTCTCTCTCTCTTCCTCTGCTTCTTTTTTTGCCTGTAACACGTATGTCGTAATCGTTGCGCGTAAGCGACACTTTTTCTCCCTGTTTTCGGTTTTTAGCTCGTCAGAGGAGGACAGAGCATACACGGAAAGAGGTTAGCGAAGCGCGGGCTGATCGATAGTCGCACCATCATTCGCTTTTCGCAGCTTCGTTGGCTGCCATCGGCTTCCACTTTTACGCGGCCGATTTAATAAAGCGAGAGAGTTTGCATGATTTCGTTACGTAATCCATTTATCAGGAAGTCGAGGTTGAATCGAGCGATGTCGAAAGACGGAGAGGCGGCTATCGAAACTCTCGCCTCGCGACATTTTAGAAATCTTCGATCGCGATCGTCCATGCAATACGCCGCGACGCGTGCACGCGTGTGCGTCCATACGTGTGTGCACGTGTGCACATGTGTACTGCACCATGATGACGTGCCATTCACCGTGAAAACCATTCACTCAAGGTATTAACAAGGTCGTGCAAGGTCGTGCACTGCTATCCTGCATTTCTACCGAATATACAACGATGCGGAGCGCTCGCGACGGACATGGCGTGCACACACGTACACACGTATATCGAGATTTGCGCGCGAAAGCAACGGAACCCGGTATCGATCCGAATGCGTAGAAAATGCTATTGATTCTCTCGGCCGACCCGTCGACCTCTTCTCCACGTTGTGTAGTCGCGAGGAGGCGGAGGCAGGATTCTCTTTCTCTCTCTCTCTCGCTCTCGCTCTCTCTTTCTCGCTCTCCTCTCGGTATCGCTGAAAAAGTTGCTTCCCGTTTCTCGCATATTTCACGCGCATCTTTTTTCCACCGCTGCACCCAAGGATTTTTAACGGTTAGTCGCCGCCATTGGGCTACCTTGTGCTTTATCTCGGTCGCGCTTCTTATTCTTCGCTCCTCGTGCTTTCGTAAAATTCCGAGATCTCGCGAACCTTCAACGCAAAACACGCGCTATCTTTCTCCGCCCCAATCTTTTTTTCCCCTTTTCCCCAATTTAATTTTATTCTTATTATATTTTCTTTTTCTTTTTGCACATATTTCGTCCGAATTATATCATCGCGCTTGGGGTATCTTTGCTCCGTCGCCGATGCGAATTGCCGGAGTCAATGGTTTATCTGTGGGACCGATAAGGGATCCCCCGAATAGGCCGATCCGTTTCTTTGGATCGTGGGCGACCGGTCGGGTACCTGTTCAACTATTTCTAGCTCTTTTTCTTCGCGGCACATAACGAATTCCGCCCTTCGGCCGAGGAAAGTCATTTCTGCCGCATCTTTGCGGTCTCCGGCGAAACAAACGTTGCGTACGTGACCGTGATTGGGCTGCGAAGGGGTGAGGAGAGGATTACATAAAAGGCACGAACCGAGCGAGTCGCCTATTCGCCCAACCTACGTCCTCCAGGGTCGTACACCCACGTTCATACTTCGTGCGTATCGTCTCGCGGGCTTATATGGATGATTATGCATGCAGGCGTTATCGTATATATATATATATACGCGCGCGCGTGTGTGTGTGTGTGTGTGTGTGTGTGCACGTATATACAGAGAGAGAGAGAGAGATATAGACGCGGAACGTTCGGAGGACTCGTGCAGGATCGCGTGTACGATTTTCAAGAAATTTTCCATGTGTAAGAATTCTCGGGCCATCGCTATCGTCTGACGTTTCCGCACGCGTTTGATCGCGAAGAAGGAATTAGTAATGCACGTGTACGTACAGACGCATGTACGTGTGTATAGTAAATGATTCATATGAACGTGAATCACTTATGTAGGAACGAGTTCAACTCTCGTGCGAGTAATTGAAGAGTGGATTATTTATTAAGACGCGGTTTATTGGAAAGAGCGCGCGGTATCGGGGTGATTATGGTGGTTTTCTGTCAGTTTGGTAAATTCTGTCCCGTCTTTATCGCCGTAGATCACGAGAAGGAAGGATATGATAAACTGTGGCCGATGAAGAAAAGAGCACGAGCACGAGTACGAGCAGGAGCACGAGCAAGAGCAAGCGGCTTCGTCGAGGAAGGCGAGAAGAAGCGACGACGAGGCGGCAGCAGCAATACCAATAAAAAGATCAACACTAGATCTGATGTTAGCGGACATTAACGGTAACTTGGCGGATCTGAGAAGCGAAGCGATGGCGTCGCAGAGGTTTTGTCTGCGCTGGAATAATCATCAAAGTAATCTACTCTCCGTTTTCGACCAACTACTCCATGACGAGTCGTTCGTCGACGTTACGCTGGCCGTGGAGGGTCAGCTACTCAGGGCACATAAGATGGTGCTGTCGGCGTGTAGCCCCTACTTTCAGGTAAGACCTCCGCGCGGCAGGAACAACGTTGCGCCCTCTGCGCGCCGAGCCGGCGAAAGAGAGAGGTCCTGGGAGGAAATGCGCTTTCTTCACGGAGACCAATGAATCGCGTTCTAGGACATTATTAATAATTCATAACGGTAGATTAATTCATGACGCGTATTAATAATTCATAAACGTTTTCTTGCCCGGCAGAGAACCCTCTCGCGGCCAATCTATACTGATCCAGCATTTTTTCTCTTATTTTTGCAGGCCCTTTTCGTCGGCCACCCCGACAAGCACCCGATAGTCATTCTTAAAGATGTCCCCTACGTGGACATGCGCAGCCTTTTGGATTTCATGTATCGCGGAGAGGTCAGCGTCGACCAGGACAGGCTGACCGCCTTCTTGAGAGTCGCTGAGTCTCTCAGGATAAAGGGCCTGACCGAGGTAAACGAGGACAAGTGTGACTTGCCTAGTATTACCTCTTCGTTGCTTGGCAATCAAAACACAGTACCTCCACCTCCACCGAATCTACATAGAATAAACCAAATCGGGCCTCACCACCATGTCTCGCAGAAGAGGATGCACCATATGTCGAACCATCCTCTCCTTGGTTCGGCCTTATCCGCGCCAAAGAGGAAACGGGGCAGACCGAGGAAGCTGAGCGGCTCCTCCGACACACCGATAGGCGAGATCTCGGGTCAGGAGCTGCAGTCTTGTTCGGGGGCAGACCTCGTGCAAGGCTCGCCCGAGCTGATGGAAATGAAGATGAGTATCGACTTTCAGAGCGAAAGCACCGGCAATACCGGCAGAAGCGGAAACGCCGCTGCCGCCTCGGCAAGTAGTAACAATGTGAGCAGCAATAACGTCGGTAACTCGGCATCAACGGGAACCAGCCTGGCCGCTTCCTCCTTGTCGTCCACGAGGAAGGACGAACCAACGGAAAATGGTACTGACACGCCCGAGTCGCTGGCACCTCGCGTCAAACGGGAGCCTGAACCAACGCCTAGCACCTCTGCCCAAGGTAACTTCTTTTTCCCCTCTTTCCTTCACTTTCCTTCCGCCTTTGCCGGTGTCTAATTCGTTCACGTTTCTTTGCTGCTAGCCTCTGACGAGACGTTCGCACGGCCGCACAGTAGACAAGGGAGCGAAGGTTTCAAGCAAGGTAAGAGATACCATTATCAGCTTACACGATTAACAGTTTGCGCCACCTTTTAATCGTCATCTGTGAATAATCGGAGTAACACGATGTCGTGTTGCATCTTTAATATCTCTCGACACAAGCATCGTGTACCGGCTTTGAACAGATTTAACACTTTCTCGATCGGCCAAGATGCTACCGGTCCGTTCAGTTTTATTTACCAGTTCAGAATCGAGAGACGTAGAAGCGGTATGTACGTGTACTAACTATATGGCTACCAAATCAAATCAGAGACAAGCTTCTCTCGTTGTCGTATCGAGTAAATTCATGCAAATCGTTTTTTTTGAATTCTCGACAACGCTCCACGATTTTGCAGCCGGATTTCTGCTAGACGATTACTTTTCTATATACTGGTATAATTTTCAAATGTATGTTTTTCTTATCGTTAGATGCTTTCCAACGAATATTAGTACCATGAAATCGAATCGAATTTGTAGAGAAA